TCTCATAGCGCATCCCACCCCTCCTCAAACAACGTCTTCTTAACCTTGAGCTCCTCCGCCCCAAGATACAGCGGCCTGACAACCTGCATACTACCCGTCCCCAATTTAACGCTCTGCCCCATGATAATACACTCACTAACACCATCAATCGTATCCGTCTTGCCCCTCGCCGCCGCCTCAAACAAATGATCCGGCGTCTTCTCAAACGACGCAAGCTGCAACACACTATCCCTTGTCTTTTGCAGTCCAAAACGCGTGATACCAAAGACCTCGCCCTTGAACGTCATGACATCAGCGAGCAGCTGCATGTGACGCGGATCAATGTCCATGTTACCCATGACATCTCCGATTTCACGCACAATGGTTGCGCGGGCGGCTTCGATGCCGAGCACGGTTTTGACTTCCATGACGTGGTTGGATTTTGTGTTGTAGGGTTCTATTCCGGGGGTTGTCATGCAGTCGCGGAGACCGTAGCCTTCTACGAGGAGTTGGCATTCGTACTGGCCTTGGGCGTTGGGGCTGCTTTCTTTCTTGATGATGGCGCGTGTGCAGTCGGGGTAGCCTTTTATAACGACGTCGGGGATGAGGGCTTTGACTTGTTGGACGCGCTCGAAGAATTCCTTGTGGTTGCGCGAGGTTTTTGTGGGGCGCTTTTTCGCGGCGTAAGGGTCGGGGACTTCGACGCGGATTATGGAGGAGGATATGCGGACGTTGGCGCCGGCTTTGCCCCATTTGAGCGGCTTGTGGGCGTTGATTGCTGCGGCAATTTCTTGGGGTGAGACGTCGACGAAGAGTTGGTTGATGGTGTCCCAGTCGATGCGCATGGCGATGTAGGCGCCGTTGGGGTGCCACACATCTTCGACGTAGGAGATGACGTCGCGCAGGTACGTCTTTTCCACACGCGCCTTGACGATTCGCGCAGCGGATTCGGAGACCTTGTTGGACAGCTCGCAAGCGATGACGGGAGTGGAGATGGCGGACGAGGCGTTGATGATTTCCTTGATACGGGGTACACCCTGGGTGATGGACATACCAGCGACACCAGCAAAATGGAAAGTCTTCAGTGTCATTTGCGTTCCGGGCTCACCAATGGACTGAGCACCAATAGCTCCAACGGCGTGACCGGGCTGTACTCGTGATCGATGGTACTTGGTGAGACAAAGCGTTATGAAGGCCTCGAGCGCGCTGTGTGAGATCTTCGCAATTCCATCAGCGAGGCCGTACTTCTCAGCATCGGCTGCGGACTGCTTCCTGTCCTTCTTGCAATCGGGTTGCACTACTCCCAGGTAGGCAAGAGTTGTTTCAAGCTTCAGTGCCTTCTTGAAGATGTAGTCTTGCACGGTATCGAGGAAGTCACGCAATGACTCTTTTTGATCGATGCCACCATCGGTCCTGTCGCGATACTCCAGCGGCGTTACGCCATCGAGCTTGAACCTAGGATATTTGTTTCGTTCGGTATTTAGCTTTGCTTCTGTGTACTCCTTAACCTCCTGTGGCGTCAGGCCCGACTCTGAGTTGTCCCACGTTGACGTTACGGCATGCGAGAACGTCCTGTCGAAGTGCACGGGCTTTGCCTTGCCCTCCATGTCTACAGGATCGAGGTTGTCGTCTCCGTACTGGAATTGAACTACAGTTCCGGAAGAGTTCCGAACAGTGTCGTCGTATTGTGCAGAGAGATCTTCGAGTGATTTCATCAGTCGTCTACTCATGTAACCAGTCTCGGCGGTCTTGACGGCTGTATCGACCAAACCTTCACGACCACTCATAGCGTGGAAGATGAACTCGGAAGGTGTCAAACCCGAGAAGAAACTGTTACTGACGAAACCTTTCGATGCGGGCTGACGAGCGGCTTTGGGGAAATGAGGTAGTGTTCGGTGATGGAATCCATCTGCGACACGGGCACCGCCAATCATTTGTTGTCCGACGGAAGCAACCATTTGAGAGACGTTAATGTTGGAACCCTTGGAACCGCACTTGGCCATGAGCAAGGGCGAGTTCCATCTGCTGAGCTCTTCGAAACAGATATCACCAGCCGCTTGACGTACACCAGACAAGATACCACCAATCCTGTTCTCCATAGTCTGCTCTTCGTCGCAACCGGGATCGCGCTGCAGTTTGCCCTCCTTAAAGTCCTTGATCAACTTGTCGCACTTGGCGTAAGCCTCTTCTACGAGATCTTGCTTCTTCTTGTTCAATTTCTCTCCGGGTGTGACGTCACTGATACCGAGAGAGAAACCGTTGTTGGAGAGCCAGCGTGCAGACAACTTGGACAATCTGTTCATGCCCTGCACGGCGTGGTCGGGGCCGAAATCTCGCATCATGACGTAGAACACCGAGTCTTTCTTACCGTCACCAACTGTCGCCTTGTCCATCACACCGCACATGACCTCAGAGTTGCGAATGACAAGATAAGCATCGTTCTCATTCAGATCGGGAGCTTGGTCGGGGGTATTCTTGAACTGCTTGCATGCGGCTTCGAGGTTGATCAACACCCTGCACCCCTTGTATGGCTTCATCAGCAGGTTGAAGACCTGCTTTCCGGTCCAGAGTGCCTGTGGCTTCCATACAACAGGTGGTGGGATGTCGATAGGGTGCTTCTTTCCTGTGTCAGGGTCGAAGGCTCCTTCTCCGTTAAACATGTAGTTCACAATTTGACAGAACGTCCGTCGATCGTAAAAGTTGTTCTTGTTGCTGAGGAGATACGCTGCAGTAATGAAGTCCTGAATGGCCGCAATAATCGGTGTTCCGTTCTTGGGGGTCGCAAGGTTGTATTTGACACCCATGAGCTCGGTAGCCTCGGTTCGCGCTTCTTCGGTTTGTGGAACGTGCAAGTTCATCTCGTCACCGTCGAAGTCGGCGTTGTAAGGATTGCAGACACACTCGTTCAGGCGGAAGGTTCTCCAGGGGCGGATTTTCGCACGATGACTCAAGATACTGAGCTTGTGTAGGGAGGGCTGCCGATTGAAGAGAACAATGTCACCGTCTTCAATGTGTCGCTCAACGATGTCGCCAATTCTGAGTCGCTTCGAAGTGGCCTCTAGTTTCTCGCCCGTGGTATCGAATCGCGAAAGACCGATAAGTGACGTTTTGTTAGGCTCCTTGTTTGGTCCCTGATCGCTGATGATGTAGTTGGCGCCGGGATACTTGTTCGATCCATTCTTCACCAATCTCCTCAGCTTGTCAATGTTGTATCGTGTGGCCTTTTCGGGGTATGTGAGGTTTTTCGCGATGCGCTGCGGGACAGCGACTTCGTCGATGCTCAGATTCGGGTCGGGACCAATGACAGTACGACCAGAGAAGTCGACACGCTTTCCGGAAAGGTTCTGACGGAATCGGCCACCCTTTCCCTTCAAGCGCTGGGAGAAACCGCGCATGGTCTTCTGAAGACCCTGTTGTTTCAGACCAGGCGCGTCACTGTTGATGTACATGGCAATCTGCAGCTGCAGGAAATCCCACTGCTCCATCAGGATCTGGAGAGGGAAACCTCGCGCGAGCCCAGCGCGTATTATGCTGCTGATTTGACATATGTCTCCGATCTTGTTGGTCACGTCGTCCTCGGTCGCGCCGCCTTCCTGCATCACGGACGGGCGGAGCGCGACTGGTGGTACAGGCATGTACTCCCAGATCAGCATCTCCGGTCGCGCATCCTCGGGTATCATGGCCAGCAGCTCGCAGTCCTCCGGTGATATCTTCTTGAACAAATTGAGCGCCCTCAGCGGATGCATGTCGTCCACAGCCTTCTTCAGGTGCTTGTCCAGATCGGGGTTCGCGGATTTGGCGGTGTCGAAGGACTGATCGAATTCGACTTTGCCGGCGGGTGGCTTCTTCGTCTTCGCGGTGGATCGGTTGAAGGCATCGTATCGGTTGTGGATGATCTTGAGCGGGTGGCCGGGGACCTTGCGGACAGTGCCCTGCAGGGCGTTGCAGTATGGGCACGTCTTCTTCTTCCTGCAGTCGTCGAGAATCTTCTTGGTGACTGCGCCCTTGCGCAAAGTGTCCATGTCGGGGCGGCGCATACTGCGCAGGTATCTCCGTCGCTCGACCTCATCCAGCAGCACGCGCGAACAGTCTTTGCAGATGCAGTTGAGCACCTCGATAATGTGCTTCAGGTACCCCACGTGGAAGGCCGGCAGCGCAAGCTTGATGTGACCGAAGTGGCCGTTGCACCTGTCGAGGCCTTCGCCACACGTTCCGCACTTTCCCTGCTTGCTCGAGATTCCCATGTGCGTGTCCATGGGCCCGTTGGCCGTGAGCGAGCGCGTGCCGTCGGCGGCGGGCTGGAGGTCGTAGACATTGCGGTCCGAGACTTCGAGGACGGCCTGGTTCACGATGTCCTGGTTGGAGTATATGCCGAACTGGATGTGCTTGATGCGCGCGGGGATGCGGTCCACGACCTGCTGCTTGGCCGAGCTGCGCGGCGCCTCCATGGTGGCGGGGGGTGATTGTGCGGGGTCGCTGAGGTGAGTTGATGCTACCGGGAGTCGTCGCAGTGGTCGTCGTCTCGCATAGTCGTCGCGTCGTGAGTCATTATCCGGGTGACAATAGAGCGCAGCAGCAACTTTCTCGTCGCGCCGCTGCAGATTTCAGGGTGGGGAACCTTCCCGTCGCGCTAAACCCACTAATGCGCCCTACTGCGGGCTGATAAGCTGATAGTACCCCGGAAGGCAGTCGTGACCAGGAGCATCACCGCCTGGTGGCTGCCTCACCATTGACCGTCTCTCTGCCCCGCCTACAGTGACGGCGAGGTTTGCAATAACTTCGCGTGAATTACTCGCTTTACCCTTCTTCTCACTCCTTCCACGCCAGCAGCACCTTTATCTACACATTACTGGTTGCTCCTGCCTCCTGGCCCACGGTACTACCTACACAGCGTCCCCGCTCAACCTCACCCCGCTCAACTGCTCCGCCTCCCAACCAAGGCTGTATTCGCGTCACTCTCTGGCGAGACGCCCTTCTCTCTCCTCATGAGTTCAAGTAGGCTTCTCATCGCACCATCTTCCATGTTCTTTCCCCGTCTCACTGACACCCCAGTCTTCCGTATCGTCCTCCGGGACGCCAAGCGGTACGACACGTACGAGACCCGTGAGTTCGACCTGCCGCTCAACAGCGAGTTCCCTATCGGTCGAGCGTCCAGCAACGCGGCCAAGCGAGAGCTCATGGCGGCACCACATAACGCCTTTATCGACAGCCCCGTTATTTCACGACAGCACGCCGTCCTCTCGGCCAACGCAAACAGCGGCGTTCCGGAAGTCTACATTACCGACAAAGGCTCCATGCACGGCACCATGCTGAACGGTCAGAGGCTGTCTGCCAACACACCCACCAAGCTGAACGATGGCGATGTCCTGCAGTTCGGCACTGACGTTAACCGTAATGAGGGTACGTCCTCGCGTAGGCCCTCCAAACCTCCTCTTACTCTAGCTTCTGAGCTGACACAACCCACACAGAGTTCTTCGTAGCCCGCACGTACACTTTCGAGTCGCAGCTATCACGCCCTTTCTCTCTCGGCTTCACCGTCCCTGATGCCGAAAGCGACGAAGAGGAAGTCGCCGAGCGTCGAGGCAGCCAGATCGATCCTTTCGTCATCGACGACGACTCCGACGCAGCTGATGACCACTCGGAGGCCGACGACCAAGAAGAGGTTACCATGATCATGGATCAGGTCCTGCACCCCAACGAGCATGACCACACTCTCAGTGTTGGTCAGGACGACTACCCAACTTCCGCAATGCGCACCACTCTTCCCAACGAGGACTACAACCCAGAGAGCTTTGCGTCCCGCCGTGACGACTCCCTCGAGCCTGCCAGTCCAAACCCTTCTAGCGATGAAGAAGACGTGGCCGCCCTTGGTTCTGATTCGGACAGCGAGGCTGGCAGCATCGATAGTTCCGAGATGCTGTCTGACTCCGAGCCAGAGATTCAGGATTCAGAAGACGAGGAAATGGAAGAGGTTGAACACAAGACGCCCACCACATCCTCATCCAACAAAGAGAACGAGGCGTCCATCCACAGCCAAGTACCCCAGACTGTTCACTCCTTCCCGCGCGATACAACGACGCTTTCGCTCTCGGACGTATACATGCCACAAGACGTAGCCAACACACAGCCTTCGCTACCACGCTTGTACATGTTCGGTATGCAGGGCTCCGACGGCAACTCCATGTCGAACAGTAACGTCTACGGAGATAACGCGCCTCCACCTCTGCCGCCACGTCCCTCGGCGTCTAGGGCAGCACCATGGTGCGATTCAAACTATCGCTCCTTCAGGGAAGTGGCCGATCTTCAGGAATGGTACTCCGAGGGCGTTCCGCCAAACTACTTGGGTACCAACTTTGGTGACCGACCGTCCCTGTTCAGTCCGGCTCCTCTTGCCCCAATGGCAGAGGCGAATGAGGCTCGTGCTCCCATGCCCCAATTCACTCCCTATCCTAGCCAAACCATGCAAGCGAGCCGTCTGCAGACACCACCACCATATTTTGTACCCGACTTTGAGACCTCCCCGCCGGTGCAGCCAGGTCGCCGTACCAAGGTCTCTATCGAGGAGATCGTTGAGGAGCAGCCGCCTACACCTGAATCTGTGAAAGATTTGAAGCGCAAGGCCGATGTGCTTGAGGCAGACGAGCCAGAAGCCGTTCTCGACGAAGCATCCAAGTCCGCGGTTGGTGATGAGCATGCGACCTCAAACTCGGTAGCTGCTGTTCCAGTGGATGATGCTGCTGCAATCCAGACAGCTGCCATTATTGCCCAGCGTCCCAAGAAGACTCCCCGCTCAGTCCTCAGCAAGGTCCTCAACAAGGCTGCCTATCCATTGCTCGGTGCTACCGGTGCCGTAGTCTCCTTTGCTCTTCTTTCCACCCTCCCGGATGCCTTCTTTGTGTAGGCGGTGATGGACCTGATGGCAGCGGTCCATCATCCTTCTTTTCTGGAGTTCAGGGTAAGGCAAGGTGTACATGGCAGGGCGATTCTGGGATCATGATATCGGTGGGAGCATCTACGGATAACGGCAATCAGTGCTAAGGGCGTTTTCGAGAGACGTCAGAAGAGTCGGGTCCTGGATTATGGGTGGTATGTGCTTCGGGATCCCCTGGCGTTGTGTGTTTGTTTCCTCATGTCACGCCATGGTGCATGACCATATTACCTTTGGTTTGATAACGAGTTATGTGCAAGAATCTCCCCACTAGATTCTACTGCGTGTATTGTCTAAGTGATGCGAAATGACAGATTGGGGTTTACGCGAAGCTTGAAATTCTTCGGGACGCTAAACCTCAAGCGGCTCGTGTTGAGGAGCTCCACTCCCACGTGGATGACCAAGACGTCACGTCTTCATCTCTGTCAGACCGAATCACGGTAGAGTATGGGTACCTGTACCAGATCTTAGGTTGTTGTTATTGTTGTTGTGTATTTGGTGTAAACAACGTCTTTCGCAAACCCTCTTTCCTAGCTACCAACCGCGACGCTCCGCTCGATCCTCACGCTTCTGAAGACGTCTGGTGGACTGTCACTGTCTTCTTGATAGCATTCCAATCCTGCGTCTCCCTATCCAAAACAGCCGCCTCGCTCCCCTGGGTACTACCCTGGTCTTGACCCGACCTCATCCCCGTGACCTTCGTTCTGATCTTTGTCGAGACCGACGTCCAAAGCGGTTTCAGAATTGGTAAACAAGCACACAAGACCGCAGTACAGACATGGATGCTGGTCCAAAGTTCTGTGGCATGATAGAAAACTGGTCAACGTCAGCGGAAACGACTCTCAGTATCAAAGCAAGAGAACCTTGGAAGACCCACTCTCATTCGGATCCTCTTTCCGCCTCGTATAAAACTCAACAATCCTTACCACATTAGTAACAACTACAAACCCACCCAGCGCAAACACCCCCACAAGCTCAACCTTCGCCCGTCTTGCCATCTGCAGCGTAAACGCCGTTCTTATCGGCACAAGCAAGATAGCCAAATCATTCGCCGCGTCGAGCGCGAGAAAAGCCTGGAATACTTGCGGCCATTTTCCCTTCCATTTCTCCCGCTCAGCAGCCACTTTGACGGCTTCAGTTGGGCTATGGGAGCTGACGACAAAGGACCGGCAGACGAATATCATGGCGGCGACGGCGGTGGCCCACCAGAGCGAGGTGAAGATGATTAGGTAGAGTGAGGCGCGTTGGTGGAAGGTGCAGGTGCGGAAGATGCGCCGGTAGAAGAGGAGGATGGAGAGTTTGCAGGTGAATTGAGACCATATTCCGAGGAGGAAGGCGGTGAGCATGGCCTTACGGTATTGGATCAGCTGGGGGGAGGCAGCGGTCAAGTGCATGTCTAGGATCTCGGTTTTGGTATAGGGTCCAAAGTTTGTGAAGCTCTCTGCCGTGAAAGAGTTAGTTCAGGGTCGGCGCTGCTGCGGTGGTAATGATGTACCGTGTAGGGCGACGATGATGGCGGCCCAGTAGACGATCAGCGTCCACAGGATGAGATAGTCGTCTCTCCTAAGACCTTGTTTCGTCGACTTTTTGGCGTAAACGCGTGTGCAGACTGTCAGGCCGGCGATGAGGCAGCAGATGAAGTGGGCGATCGCTATCTGAGCGTGGTAGTAACTGAGGCCGAGCATTGTGGTGGAGAAGTCGCGGTCAATGATCGATGGTCGCAATTTCGAGTTCAGAACACTTTCTGAGCTTCGGAAAGGCGCGGTATTAGTTGGAGGGGTGCTGATGTGCGGTTGAGGCGAAGGAGCGCATATCCAAGATCAAAGACTGAGGCGGTATATACGAAGGCGTTAGGATCAGGCCCGAGGGAAAAATAGCAGACAAACGGATGCGATCGTTGTCGAGATATGGAGCCAAGCTTGGTATCCAAATTGGAGGAGAAGAAGGATATAGGCTGACTGCGCGATTGTCGGTGGTCACACAATGTCATCCAAAAGACGTGGTCCGTTTGCTAGCGATCTCCGTTTTACAGACTAATCCAAATTTGTCATGTTTACCCTCTCTCTTTCACTTGTCATTTCGTTTGGATGAACTCGATCGGTGCGCCAAACCAGCCGAGCGTAACCAGTATGATTTTTGAATGTTGATGAAAACAGTATGGAGCCGAACCTAGAGTGACGTTCCCACTCTTAGGCCTGACGATGTCTTGTCTTAGATCTATATCTTTTTATCCTTTTTTTTATCCCTCGCATGTCTAACACAACTGTTTAGCTGTAGAGATAGCTTGCTCCCCAGAAGTTTTGTGGTAAAGCTGTCCCGCTACCTGATAGATAGCTGTCCTCGTGCTCCTCACTAAAAGACCTGGGACCAACAGCCTTTCCCGTACTGAACTGTGCTTACAAACAACAAAAGTATAGCGGCCCCCATGCTCACTCCATGTTGACCATCTCGATCCTCACACCCTCTGCCCATCTCGCGACGATCACCATCCTAGGGATATCGGTCCTCCCGTAACGGCCTCTATCGCGGTATCAACAAGAGGATCGAACTCCCCAACATCGAACGCCAACTGCTTCAGCGGACCCATCGCTTGTTCCATGAGGCTGATGTGTCTTCGAAGCAATCCGATCATCTCCTGGGGCGCCCGTGCTTCTCTTTTGCGTTTCGTCAGCTCACTCTTTGACTTGCCAATCTCCCTGTAAAGAGGGAGAAGTTCTGCGATGAGTTTTCTCCTCCGCTCATGGTAGTCGCGTTCATCGCTGCTGATATCAGAGTCGCTGCTTCCATGATCGCGCTCTCTCTGGTGTAGTTGATCTGTGTCTCCGTCTATCGGCGCGTCACTTGCTGCTGGTATCCTTTCGTGATCGAGATCGTTGGGAGGCGAATAAGGAGGGGGCGCCGGGTGACTCGAGAGTCTATCATGATCCGTGTCTGCATAGACGTCGTTCGTCTCCGCGGTGTACTGATGTATTACGTAGTTGTTCTGCCCCATAGTGGCAAGACAGCTTCGAGCAACATCCAACTGAGTCTCGGCTTCCTGGAGTCGCGCCCTGCATTTCTGGAGCTCAACTTTGCGCTCCTTGATTTTGTTTTCTCGCCGTTCGAGTTCGGCCCTGCGTTCCTCAACTATGGTCGCACAAGTCCTCGTGACGCCTTCCATCGCCTCGGTATGTTGCCGTTGCATCTCAAAGCCTTCCCCTGCACGTAGTCTTAGTGTTGGTCTTGTTCCGATTTCTCAGTGGTGTAGGCTTCGTACCTATAGTGTTGTCTGCCGAGCCATCGTACATCCATGACGGATTGGATGGAGTCCTGCACATGATGCACGGAGATGTCTTGCCGGAGTTTTGTGAATGTTTTTCGAGTTTTTTATGTGTTGGGTCGTTGTGCACGATAAGAATAATGTTGGTGTATCGTGGGAATGTCGTGGAATCAGAACGAGGAGGACGTGTAGCGCTGGTTTTATTCTTCTTTGAACGATGGTTGATGTGATCACCCGAGTCAGCGTGCGAAGTATATGGTGTATTGAGTTGTTGTTGTAAGAGCTAAGGTGCTAACTACCAAGGAAGGAGAGCCTATGTACCCGTGAGGTAATCACGTGACACAGCGCGTCGACCTACTTAGGTAGGTACAGCATGCCCACGAACCAATCATAACTTACAAATTATGCAAATTACCAATACAATAGGTCGAATAGAGCGCGAATATTACGACTACCGACATTTGATCGGCAAAACTTCTTTACGAACAGAGCCGGGCTGAGGTGCACTATATGCGCGGGATATCATTTGCTCAGCCACGGTTCAGAGATGCCCGGGCAAGAACGCCGCCCTATTCGCCCGCGCCCAACTTCCATCGTGCGCTACAATCACCTCTACTTCTACAGGGCTTCCACCTTCTTCACGAACAGTCCCTTGCTTCAAGAGCCTTGCTATTGTTTCCACGGTAGCCGCTGCAGCATCAGTGTCAGCGTGCACACTTCTCAACCCGCCTTTCCCATCGTCGTAGAGCGCGATGCCCTTCTCGCCGCTCAAGATGCGTGGGTCATGGCAACAGTCGCCACCAAGATATACCCATTTCTTCGGTCCTGTTCGAGCGAGAAGGTTGATGTGTCCGAACAAGTGTCCTGGCGCATCAATGATGAATAATGATCCATCTCCAAAGAAGTCTATAGAGGCGGAGAACCCCGCCAGCGGCTTCCACTCAAGTTCTTTTAACTGGTTCTTGAATGCGCGTAGAGCTTCTGCCTTGCGAACAGGTGGTAGCTCACTCGTTCGGTCGGCAGGCAACTCATCAGGGTTGAATATCTCGGATGGATAAAGTGGCCCACCACCGTTCGCAAGAAGATGCATGGTCCCACTTCCGACCACAAATCGCGCGTTTGTGAAATCACCTGGTGTACCCACATGGTCCCAGTGAACATGGCTCAGCATCACCATGTCCACATCTTTTGGGTCAAGTCCACCTTTTCGCAGGCTCTCAGCTGCATCCGGACTGACACTGGTAGGCTGGCGTTGCGCGATATGATGCTGTTGTGCTCCCCGGTAGCCAGAGAAGTCGCGTTTGAGACCGAGATCGAAGACGAGATTGGATGAATCGTGTCGAATCAAGAAAGAAAGAGATGGGACTGTCGCACGTCTTTCTGGGTCGGCATCTGTGACGAAGAGTCTCTCGGGAAGGGTAAGCTGGCCGGCTTCGAGGGCTGAGATTGTAACGTAGGTTTGATCGTGGGCTGGTGCTGGAAGAACAACGGTATCGTTGCTTGACGCCATGGCGAATGATGGGAGGCAAGAGATGGTAGCTGAATGTTTTTCGAAGAAGCCATGTTTGACGCCAAATATGATATCGTTGTTGGAGAAAGCGTCGTTGGGGAAATCGCTGGCATGTATTCCGTTCTGCTGCCCCACCTCATCAACTACCCCGCACGCGGGGTCAACCTCTTTGCGATATCGAGATCTGCTGAATCCATCAGTGGTGATAGAAGGTATATATATTGAGATCAATCCCATATGTAGTCGAATGGCAACTCCCCGCTCCGTGTCAATTTGATAAGTTTCCAAAACACCATGTCGTTTACTGTGCCCGAATCGATGCAAGCGCAGTACCTGGAAGCGTACAAGGAACCGTACAGGCTACGATCAATTCCAATCCCGAAGCTGGAGGAGCCACATGATATCCTCATTAGGGTAGACGCTGCTTCGTATTGCCATACCGATTATGTCCTGGCGGAGGGACAGATGCCAGGTTTGCCAAAATCTTTCCCACACATTGGATGCCACGAGTTCGCAGGGACGGTAGTCGCTCATTTCCAGACGCCCAGCAAGGAAGCTAGAGCGTTCGCGATCGGCGTGAGGGTCGGTGTACCGGGACGTTCTTTCCATGCTTGTGGCTCATGTTTCGAGTGCAAGAACGAGCGCGTGGATGATCCGGTCGCCATGGATGAAGGAGGCTACTCGGTGAACTGTATCAATGCTGAGAACAAAGGACTGAGCAAAGATGGAGGGTTTGCGCAGTATGCCGTTGTGGATGCGAGACAGCTATCACCCATACCAGACGGTCTGACCGCAGTAGAGACTGCTCCTCTGATGTGCGCCGGCGTGACCATATACGGAGCCCTCAAAAGATGCAGACTGAAGCAAGGCGACCGAGTCGGCATACTAGGAGCAGGTGGTGGTCTTGGCCATCTGGGCTTGCAATACGCCGTTAAGATGGGGTACAAAGTTCTGGGTATTGAGGCAGCGGATGAGCCTCTCAAGCTTTCGCAAGATGTCGCCTCGAGATTGGATCCACAGCCGTATATCGTAGACGCTCGGAACAAGAAGGCAGCGGATGTCGTTCAGGAGATCGGTAGACAAGACAACAAGAAAGATATTGGCGAGATGGGACTGGATGCAGTGATCGTGCTGCCGGAAAGCCAAGCTGCTTTTGACTACGGCATGGCCCTGCTCAAGTCACACGGCACGTGCGTTGTCGTGTCGTTCCCGGAGAATGGCTTCCACATCAACTCGCGCGACGTCGTGTTTCGGGATATAAGAATCATCGGAAGCCTGGTAGGAAGTAACAAAGTGCTTCGTGAAATGCTCGAGTTTTCCGCCGAATATGGTATTCGCGCTTTGTCGACTTCGTTTCCGCTGGCGAAGCTGAACGAGCTCGTAGACGAATACCACAAGGGTCGGGGTGGAAAGCTTGTGGTGGACATGGCGATTGAAGCGTAGATCGAGTAGTAAGATACTTCCGCACACTCATTGCCCACCGCCAAGCCCGAGACCAACGAATCAGCCGCTTGTGACCGCAGGTGGGCGAGGGCCTGCCAATTGCGTAAATGTTGTTCGCCTGAAAGCTATGCAAAGCTTCAAATATTGTGTTGTTCTAGTCATCCTTATGGCTTTTGTGAGCCCAAGCTCTTGTTAGGCTATTGCACCCATGGTCGAGAGTACCCGTGGACCGTAATGAGCAGTCACGTGTCGATTATGAGCCAGCGGACTGACGTCACCATCTGGACAGGCGCTTGAACATCAATGTGAAGATTGTCCAACTACACCAAACCACAGTCTGAGATACTTCAAACTTGACTACAGATATCGCATTGCCTGGCGTTGGCAATCTATTGCGCAGTACCTAGGTACCTCCGCCTCCGGCCCCTCTATTTGATCTGCCCTTACGCCTGTTAACTACGACGAAGTCACCT